ACCCGAATGTCCAATGGGTATTACAAAAAGTACAAGGCACTGGAAACCTACGTGTAATCTGCCCACGGTCGAAAGTCATAATTGTTTGTCCAGTATTTTACCCGTCACAAGTATATAGCTTCCTCGTCAGTTCCTGACAGCTGCACATGGACTCGCAGGCGTCTCTTTTTTTTTCGGCTGCTTTTTGAATTTCACGGTATTACCTTTCAACACTGTACGATAGAGTCCCGCTAGCCGAGCGCCTACGTAGAACGATGTTGCTAATCACAGGGTTTTGTATCCATAACCATTTCCTTTTAATGATCAACTTGAAAGTTTCAGACGGTAGTTGCTTCTAACTTTATTTTGAACTTGACATTTCGTTACGTCGTTGTTTGCATCAAACTCGAGGACAACAATAAGTGTACAGTGTCATACGTTGCTTTTAGAATATATCATCGCGACGAGGGACACTTAGGGCTTCATAAATGTATTGGGTGTGGTAGATCGATCATAAGATTACAGTTGAAACACCATAGTTTTATCCAAAACGCTTTTAAAATGAAAATGGAAAAGTGCTGTTGGGCAGTTCGTGTTGTTGCCATATGGTATACTTGACGTCAATTGCATTCCCCGTGTCACGATAATAACTGGTCCGGTCAAGAGTGATGACCTCGTCTTCAACATCATTCCAGAATGAGATTTCATTGACTATGTGAATGGTACAACAGGCAATACAATACCTTCTTATCCTTACATTATACCGCTAAATGGAAACAGTGGTGAAAGGAAATATGATCCAAATTGGACTGTGTTTCACTGTTGACTCGGACAGCATCAAAGAGGATTTAGAAAAATATAATTAATAGAGATACCATTATATGGATGTGTTTTTGATCTTGGGATTAGTAAAATTGATAAACCCTGCTATGCTTCTGGAATATGCAATCTGGGAAACTGTCTCTGAAGTTGAGAGTCTAATGTTTTTGATGTATCACCTGGGGCGCAAAATCCCATCCAATCAAACCGTGTAAACCTGAAGTTGATCCTTATTTGTCGACAAATAACAGCAAATCTGTTTTATGGAACACATGAAGAAAACACGATGATTAAGATTACACTACAACAAAAACGCATCCTACTTTAACGCGTTATCCTTTAGTTCTGCCAAGCATTTCCAAACTATTACGATTAACCAAGTCATTCATTGCACAGCGCTGAGATAGACGAGAGAATGGTCAGACCACCGGCTCCATCTCTCTCACTACCTACAGGTGTGCCTAATGGTGCATATTAAAACGGACATGAGAGTCTTAGGTCTTCAGGAATTGAACCAAAATCAGCGTGGGCGTAATCAGTCAGTTGAAAGAATGTTTTCTTGATGATGAATTCAAAATTTGCCTTCACATTACCTGATGGACAATGTCAGCGCAAGAAAACACTCTACACAGTTCCTCATCACATCAGGCAATAAGGAACAATATATGAGGGTTCACTTCTTTGATTGACATTTAGATTGAGATATATTGTTATTAATACAAACAATAAAGTTACTCGTAATACGTATCTTCGTAGGTTCTTTTGGAAAAAAAAACTAATAGAAAAATGGCCATTAGGGCGAAACAGATAGCAATATGGTTGTCTTTGTCTCCCATGTAACGCACCCATCAAACGGAAGTACCCTACCAGTTTACTGGATAAACATAACTGCTGTTATAAAGTTATAATGTGATAAGGAATCGAGTTAACAAAAGATCCTGATACTGAGTAATGATCACTAGCACAGAAAGATGGACTTTCTGAAAATGTATTACCTCTATCTGAGATGATTAGCAAGGATAAAAAGACTGATTCAAGTCAGTCACGAAAGGTTTTCAACCATTGTTGTCTAATGAAAAAGGGTAATTAGGTACCTACATTCCGCCGTAGGGTTGTCAGAAAATGATTCTATTGCTTTATAAGGAGGCAAATTCACAAGATTTACATGACATTTGAAATCAATTGCCGTGTATGCTTTGAAGACTAACCTGAGGGACATATTTCATCGAAGGTACAGCTCAGAGTTGAAATGGCATTGTACATTACAGATCCTAAATTAACTCCTTTTATCGTACACGGCGAAGTAATATGAATATTACATGGCTTTATGGTAATTATAGTCATTGGTGTTACCGATGTAAACCCAGTCACTTTTAACTCTGCGCAGTGAAAGCATAGCTAAGGTGCTGTGCTGTTGGTATTTCAGTTCTCTAACTATATACTGATATATTTAAACCGTGACGGGTGGGTTAAACGGGACTGAGACAACAAAGGGGACACAGAAAGAATTCCATAACTTGTACCGATGTCACGGATTGAACCTACAACATGACGCTCAAGGCCTCTAACACTATGGGCGACGGTGGCCCAATCATCTGATGGGTCGGAATTCGCTGCGCAGATTCGTGTTAGAAACCAATGATAGTGGGTTCGAATCGCGGTTCGTCCTGATTATCTTTCTTTTTGTGACAGAACTGTACCTGCGGTAGAGAGTTTCACAAAAGTGGTAAAAGTCTGACCTGCATCACTTCAGGCTTTGCACTCAAATCAAGCTGACACGCCGTGATATGAATTGAAAAGTGTTCAAACCGCTGTACTGACTAACTATAATCACCAGGTTACCTAATCCACAGAATACAACGTGTATATAAGATAATCTTCAGTTGCCTGTTTTGGTGAAATTCCGATATAACGCGCCTCTGTAATCATGTTGTAATAAAGAAGGGGAAGACGGTGCATTAATCTGAGAGTTAGCTATGTAAAATAACGTTTTTGTTTCGCATGCGTAATTATGCTTTTCAGAGCCTGATGAAAACGCCTATTCCTGGAATTGCTGTTCATTTAAACGAGAGCGATTCAAACTCAACTCTAATTAGAAGATTAGAAAATGTGCCTTTCATCAAAATTCTGATCGAAAGTTATTTTTCTTTACGACATAACACGAAGCTAATCAAGATGGAAGTATTAGATGTTCTTTTTTGTTTCTTATTTTGTCAGCTGGTTCAAAATACAGATAACCAAAAACTAGGATCTCTTGTGCTGGTTGGAATCACGCGTGTTATTATTGAAGGCGAACTATTCATTTATTTTCCTTCGAACTTGAGAACAGGTGCGACATATTTTTGATCAGTACAGTGTTATTTCGCTGTTCGTATATGTATGACGTAGATAGGACAGCAGACATTATTGGCATTTTGAAAATATCTTTGTGTCAGGTGCTACCGCTGGGAATCATTACAAGTTGATAGGGATTCTTAAACGCATGCTCAGGATAAACTGGGTTGTACAATCACCCATGCGTTCAGCAGATGTTTCGAATGATCATGGAACGGGTTGTATTGTTTGTTTGTTGCTTAACGCCGTACTCCGCAATATTCCAGCTATATGACGGCGGTCTGCAAATAATCGAGTCTGGACCAGACAATCCAGTGATTTACACCATGAGCATCGATCCACGCGATCCCGTTAGTCGCCTTTGACGGCAAGCATGGGTTACTGAAGACCTATTCTAATGCGGGTCTTAAGTTTCTGGTGTAACACTTGAATAGGTACATATATTTGCAATGTATCAGCAGTTCGATACCATTAGTGTTCTCTGGCATCTCTGCAAGCATATATTTATTACCTGTTAGCAACAAGTGTGAGTTGTAAGGAAGTGAGACAATGTTTAGCAATATTCCTGCAATTGTGGGAACATCATAAAAGACCTTGAAGCATTGTACCTGTGGACTTGCATCAAATCAGGGTCTCCGACGAGCCAACGTTTTAACTTTGGGGTTATATCCAACTCCTTATAAGAATAAATCGTTTCCGACGATTTGAGTAATGTTTCTGAAAAGAGCTTCAAAAGCTGTTACCACAGAATATCGTAACCCATCTCTTAGACGGTTTCATATTTTGAAACATATCTATTTATTGCAATTCAATCTAATATCTTGTTTCAACAAGCAATGATACGTGAGGCTCGAGAATATCCTATTTCTCATACACCATTGTGTTCTTATTGATAACACTGGTGCTACACTAGGTCAGTCAGTCGTGTCCATATCACATGTCTCCTATGCACCCATTAAAAATGCTACATTGACCTTGCAATATAATTCTATTAGAATCGAGAACTGTCATAAAACTATAAAACCACAGTGGGGATTCAGGATCAATATTTTTGTACGTGTACATTTTCCTGTCGTTCTCGCCGACTTAATAGATCGTGTTGTCAGGTTTGGAGACAAACCGCGACTGTGTTGGCCTTTGCTCATAATATCAGTCACTGGTTTGTCTTGTGCAGACTCGATTATTATTAGGGTGGAATATTGCCAAGTGAGGCATATAAAAACAAACACACACATACTCTATTAAAACATCAAGTTGCATATCCATCAGCTACGATATACAGTGAAATCCGTGACCGTGCCGTGACCTGTATAGATTTTCAAATGAGTATCGAGTATTATGTCTCCTTTTATATGGGAGCAAGTAATCGCCTAGAAGGCTGGGGTCCTAGAGTAATGGGTTCCGGTTCCGGAATAATTTCGCCACGTCATATTTTGACCGTATGAGACGTGATAATTAGATAAACGTTTCAATCCGTTGTGTGATGAACACTGTACAAAATAACAGATTCCATTGGATTCGATAATTCGAGTTTAGAGTGAATTGGCTACATCAGCATCGTTACATTCTTCTCGGCTTTGAAGAAATAATAAGGTACGCTTAATTATAGATTATAGCGGAAGCATAGCTTGGCTGATTCCGACAGCTGAATTTGCAGACTACAAACCCGCAGCTATTAAACTGCACTGGCGCGACTGAACAAAAAGAGATCTATCCAAATTGATCGTTGTACAAACACACCCAATATTTGGTGAAGAAACGAATTCAGTTATTTTAGTTAATACATGTAGTAATAACTAATGTTAACTTTTGAATAATGTAACTTAATTTCATGTTAGCTATTCCAAATAAAACCACTTTATACGCACCTGTGAATTCTTTTGACTTTCTTGATATAGTGCAGAAAATTAATCCATAAGCCGTTCCTATGGTAACAAGTGGAATGACAAACATGAGCAGTAGGGAGGCGACTGTGTACAGTTGGCTCTGCCACTCTCCAGCGTACGATCCGAACGTGACACACTGGTAAAAGTCTTCTACAAATGGTCCTTTTTTCACGTTGAATATAATGGCCTGGAACGAGAAAGGGAACATTTAATTAATACCACAAACATAAATGACACATCTGTTATTAGATATCTGAATTTATCCTGCTATAGATTGAGGGACACAGGTAACATGCTTTCATTCTTGGCTCACTTGGCTGAAAGTCAAATGAACTTATGTCACGGCTTACTGGTCCATTGTCCTCTGTACACGTTTTCTCTGGACCAAAGAAGCAACCATTTGCATAGATGCAAAGAAAGACGTTTCTTTTTTGTGATATAAATGTTTTGACCTTGGTTTGACCTTTGCAGATTGACATCACCCGTACTTTCAGAGTGCATATTTTACTTTGATAAACACCTCTACTGAAACTGCTAGGCTGATATTCGTTAAACATATTTACACGTTTCAAGCCTTGGGAAATATAAACTTTGTGTAAATGATTTATTATAGTGACAATGTATAATCAGAAATCTGCATTCTGATTGGTCCGCCATCTACGTTAGATCATGATGTTGCTGATCGCCGCATCAGCGAGAAGGAAAAGAAACACTTCTTTCGCAGTGTCAAGCGATAGAAAATTTCAAATGCTGACTTTAGAAACGTTGCTGGATAATGTGTCGAGGTCTCCAGAGTATTGATAGTGTGGCAATATGTCTTTGATGGAAAGCTCGAAGAACAACGATTTATATCTCCAAATTAAGTAAATATGGCACACTGCGACGCCATGTCTTTCTCGTCACAATGTTTATATTACTTGTCTGTACGACATTATGACATCATAAGAGGGGTGTGTACCTAACGTTGTAAGGGCCGCTCCATTTTCTTGAATGGGTTTTAAAAAATATTTGAACGTCATTGTTGACAGGTAATTCATTTTAGTGTCTTTGTTGATATTTTAATGTGTTAACATTATCAAGTGAGCTGCACTTCTTCAGCCCAACCTAGAAGTTTGTCGACTTTCAGAAACAGTTTAAACCTGAGGGGACGTCTTCTCAAAACGGGAAAATATAAACGAGTGCCTACTTTTTCGGAGTGCTGAATGTTTTGACGTTATTACCACTTTATAAAAACCCTGGTCAAGCTTGGATTGACGTGTACGATTGATATCAAGTCTGATGGATTAACTCTACGTGTAAATTCCACTTGAGGATTTATACTGTTATTCGTATTTCAGTGAATTTGTATGAACTTCTAAATAACTTTCTAACTCTTCTGAATATATTTCAGTTGCATCTGTCAATAACATTCAATAAAAAGGACGTTCACTCTAAATAAGTTGACAATTTAAGATTCCGATTGGATAGTCATTAAATTCCGTCATATAAGATTGCTCTTCTGATTACATCTTTGAGTTATGAACGACCTGTCTTCAAGAAGGCTTAATAAGGTTTGTCTTTTTATACTTCAAAGTTATGTTTATGTAAAGTTTTGTATTACCAAATACTCACGAAAAGTAACAAGATATTCCTAAAACTGCTGTAAATTTCACATAGCAAATGAAATTCGGTGTCGTATATACTCAGCAACAAATGCACAGTAAATAAAATTGGTGTGCTGAGGTGAAATGGGGTTTAAGGTCGCGTCTGAGATTGTTAATGACTTTTTTATGCGAGTCCATTATCAGTTTTCATGTCGCTGTTTAACTTGAATAGAACACGCAGGCAGAGCACATTGATTTAGAACTGGGCCGACGGTCTATCCGATACATTACGGAGGCAATCCCACTTTTTAAAAACAGTAGGTGCGTTGGGGTAAACGAGAAAGTGTAATATATTTGTGGATATGCCACGTCTGTCCCATTATGACTGTTGGCCTGCCATTGGGACGGTCGTACTAGCAAATGTATGAATCTTGAAATATCTTTTTCAATTTCCGTTAATTTCATGACCTTTATCTTTCAACTTCCAGATGTGCTTTCAGAGCTGTATTAAGATGGATATACGCTTGCCAGGGTACACACTCGACAACACCGGTTCGTCCGTACGGTGAAGTCATGAACAGAATTATTATATTAATCTTGGCAATCAATACCAACTCTCCAGCAAATGAATAATATCTTACAGTTGAAAGATTACAGTATATGCACCTTGTTTTATGGCGGTTTTCATGTGAATCTGTTGTCGTATTTGGAACTGGATTTGTGTTAATTACCGAGATGCAGACCGTTTCTTTATTAGTCATTATGGTAGAATAGACCAACGGGTAAATTGTGACATTGCTATGTATATAAGGGTCTCAATTAAAACGTGATTTGAGTTTAATATAATATTATAATTCAAATTTATCATAGATACCCTTCGAAAGGAGTCGATCATTCACATCGTACATCAGAGTGTCTCACATTTTAGGATGCATTATAGATAAAGAACATCAACGATCAAATGACATGCAAAATGATACCCTGACTGATGCAAGGTCCTATATTGTAGATGACTACATGCACTTATACACCAGTTTAGACACAAATAAACATGTAAACATGTACTCTGGACAACAAACTGGACGTTCTGGAAAAAATGTTTTGTGCCCCCACACATCCCCCACCTCTCCCCCCACCACCCCTTCAGTATTCCATATACAGCAATTACCGTCTCAGTTGTGCGTTGATTCATTTACAAAAAGAAATATCATTTTCAGTTGATAAACACAATCGGATTTATAGCATGAAGATATTAAGTGCGTACGTCTGCAGGTGGTCGGAGTAAAAATTATATGGGTCTTCATAAGACAGAGCAATAACCTTGCTTGAATATTAAAGTGAACAGAGATATTATTGACACAGTCCTCCCCTAGTGTTTTGACTGTGGTTCATATCGTGTGATGTTTATCATTGGTTACAGTGTGTCTGAACAGTCGGTCACAAAGTGGCTCTATGTCACAGCTGCCAATGCATTTCATAACTATTACATATTTATTATTAAGACAAAACATCTCATGCTTGAAATACCTAGGCTTAGGTTGTCCAATAAATTGGGTTTTGGACGTCTGAGACTGTTTGGGTTCAACTGGGTTGCTCATATAATATGCTATTGCTATACCGCAACGTCTATTTTCTGTTTTTATGAAATGTGTAAAAAATCCTCAATCTTCATATGTATGAGTTCTGAGAATGGGATGTGTCATCAGGGCTGGATACGTTTAGAAGAGCGGAACATTGTTTTTGAGGAGAAACACTAGTTCCAGTCAGACTCCCCTTGTGGCAAATGGGGCGGTCGGGTAGCCTAGTGGTTCGCTCGTCACGCCGAAGACCCGGGTTCGATTCCCGACATGGGTACAATGTGTGAAGCCCATTTCTGGTGTCCCCCGCCGTGGTATTGCTGGAATATTGCTAAAAGCGGCGTAAAAGCAAACTCACTCACTCACTCTTGTGGCAAATTGTGTATTAAACAAGAAGAAGCAACCAGGTTCCTACTCTCTATCATCGACACTCCACCATCGAAGCCTGCATTCTATCTCTAACACTATCCATGTTCCTACTGTCTATCATCGACACTCCATCATCAAAGCCTGCATTCTATCTCTAACACTATCCATGTTCCTACTCTCTATCATCGACACTCCACCATCGAAGCCTGCATTCTATCTCTAACACTATCCATGTTCCTACTGTCTATCATCGACGCTCCATCATCAAAGCCTGCATTCTATCTCTAACACTATCCAAGTTCCTACTGTCTATCATCGACACTCCACCATCCAAGCCTGCATTCTATCTCTAACACTATCCAAGTTCCCACTCTCTATCATCGACACTCCATCATCAAAGCCTGCATTCTATCTCTAACACTATATTGTAGATGACTACATGCACTTATACACTAGTTTAGACACAAATACTCTGGACAACAAACTGGACGTTCTGGAAAAAATGTTTTGTCACCCCCCCCCCCCCCCCCCCCCCCTCTCCCAACACCATTCTATTCTGCATTCTATCTTTAACACTATCCAAGTTCCTACTCTCTATCATCGACACTCCATCATCAAAGCCTGCATTCTATCTCTAACACTATCCAAGTTCCTACTGTCTATGGTTTACACTTTCCCATCCAAGCCTGCATTCTATCTCTAACACTATCCAAGTTCCTACTCTCTATCATCGACACTCCACCATCCAAGCCTGCATTCTATCTCAAACACTATCCAAGTTCCTATCTCTCTGTCGTTGACACTGATATGGCGACCTGTCAATGACAACCTTTTGTCAGAATGAAGATTCAACAGGCTTCTTGCCATGTGGCCATGACATATATATCTAGATTTATTCAATTGCCTTCAATGAAATATGCTAATCCCAGTTGTTAATCCTCATCCCAATTGTGGTGCACATTTAGTGTCTCCTTGACACCTACATTTCTGCTACTCTTGACAACTCTTCGTTCTTTTTCGCGGCTCCTTCCAACAACTGGTCATGGCAACATTATCTGGCACTCACACCCGAGGGCGACCCAGCACAATGTATAATGAATGTTCTTTGCTTCGGCTCATGCCCTGATAACATCGTGTCTGAACAGACCACCAAAATATTATTCTAAACGACAATTTCACACCTGCTAGATTCAATTACTTTCAAAGCTGATCTTTCTCCGCTCTAGTGAAACAAACTACTTTCATTCACTAAAGCTGACAGTTATTCAATATGCAAGTAATTGTAATTTCTACCCTCACTACAAAAGTGACATGTAACTTAAATAGCTTAATCCATCACTAGGGCTGCCTTGACAGCCGATATGTTGATACACACTTTAAGAGAGTTTCTCTTTTTCCATGTACGTGGGCTTCTGATAGCAGTCTTCATATAAAAATAACATTTTCTTCATTGGTTACAATTACATTCGTATTACAATCGGGCTTCTTCAAAGCGGTGAACGTATAAGGCCTTCATCAAATGGGTTTTCCTCCCAAATTAAGCTGACACGCCGTGATATAACTGACGCACTCAATCCAATAAATGTAGTCCAAAATTGTACGATGTTTTATTATTACTTAAATCAGGAGCCAACTTGAATACAAAGGCTACTCAAAAC